CTCAGGCCTGCACCATACACTGGGCAGGAGACTAGAGCCTACTGCAGGGGTTTCCAGTAATGTTTCAGGGGCCTCCAGTAAGAACCGAAAGTTGTGAGTTTCTGGGGGAACAGCAGAAAGGCCAAGCCATGCTTGGCTTCCTTTATCTCCAACTCTGCCTAGATAGCTCCTAAGATACCTGCACTGACACAAGCTCTGGGTGGACAAGCAGGGTGACCATATATGCACATGCCCTGGACTCCTGAGATAGTTTTGCTGCCTTAATGTAGCTGTAGACTATCACTACGTTATTCACTATCAAAACCATTCCCTTCTGATGATGCACTGCGCAGTCACTCTACCTACAAGGTTCTTTACAATCCTCTGGGAGAAATACAGGTGTAATTGCGTTATTGCTTTCCTTCTCCTGGACTTTCTCTAAGAACATTTCAAAGAACAGGTTGGGATTCCCTTGCAGGGAACTCTATCAGCAAACCCACAACTCCAGACAGGACAAATCCAGACCAAAGAAGGAAATGCAGACATTTGCCCTTTTGAAAAACCTTGAGCAAAATTCCAAGACTCATCTTTCCAGGGTGCTAAATACCAAAGGGAACTGGGACAGCTCCCATCCAGGGGAATCAGCATCTTTGGGCAGCAAGCTCATGATCTCTAACACTGATTAGTGTAAGAATCACCAGGATTTCTGCTTTCTGCTACTACATCTTGGTTGGATTAGATAAGAATGGTAGTGTTTCTACAAGGAGCACTTATATACATCCTGTTGTGGTTTATGTCTAGATGTCCTCCAAGAGCCTCACGTGCTCATAGGCAGGGCTTTTGGAAGGTGACTGGTTTATGGGGGCCCATAGCTGACTTGCTTTTAGAAGGTAGGTTCTGGTCATAAGAGATAGGTCACTGGGAATGTGGCCTGGAAGGGTTTGTCTTCCTCCCCAGTTCCTCCCTTCTCTCTCTCTGCTTCTGGTCCACCATGCCTCTCCACCATGTCATCTTGCCTCGGAGCCAACTCACTATAGGCTGTAATGTGAGCCAAAATAAACTTCTCCTCCTTTAAATTGTGGGTGTCAGGTATTGTGTCTCAGCAATGAGAAAGTGACTAAGACACATCCCAGACTTGGAAGGTCTTGTTTATATGGTGGGCTGGGCAAAAGGAAAGATGTGTTTCTTGGAAGAAGGCAAGAAAAATCTAGAAACATGTTTTATTTTGTGGATTATAAGGTGCTTAACTTTATTCCTAGAAGAGAGTAAATTTAACAACCCAGGACTTTTAATGAAGTCTGAGGGAGTCTGAGCAATTGGCACTACCCAGGGTGAAAGATATGGCAGCTGCATCTATGGGTGACCTGTGCTGAGAGGTAACTAGTTCGTAACAAACCCTCCAGTGCCTGCTATGTGCATTTCCTTCTTCTTTGTTCATTTCCAATTATTGCTATGTGCATCTCCTTCTGAGCATGCTCTGGATGGCAAGGAAGCAGTAGAAAGCTACACAGTCTGTAACATGCCCACAGAGCACACACCATCACCCTGAAATGTGTATCTAAGATGAGTATAGTTTATTTTCCATGGAAATACTGTCATTCCATCCTGGAGAATAAGATAAAACGCCAGCCTTTTGGTCTTAGAAATACAGTGAAACAATTACAAAAAACTACAAACAAGGGCTGGGGATTTAGCTCAGTGGTTTCGCCGCCTGCTGCGCAAGCTCAAGGAACCGAGTTCGATCCCCGGTACCAAAAAAAAAAAAAACAACAAAACTACAAACAAGCCACTAGTAATGATGGACGCCTGTAATCCTAGCACTCAAGGAGGCTAAGGCAGAAGCATAGCAAATTGAAGGCCAGCCTGGGCAACACTGTGCGACCCTGTCTTAAAACAACCACAGCCAAACCCTATGAACTAGAAAGAAGAACTGATTCTTCGTTGGTCCTCCTATTCCTGGAAACAGTCTGTCTTGGAGATTCTTCAAGTTATTTCAAATCCAAACCCACCAGTTCCAAAGCGCAGTGCTCCTTGCTTGGAGCAGGGCAGGACCCTGGGGAGGAAATGGCTCCTTCCTGCAAAGCCTAGCTTTGCTCTCCTACCTGGATCTCCGTGCTATAGGGCCCTGGGGAGCAGTTCTGGTCTCCAGCACTGGATCTCTGGCTTTGCAGAGTGCCAGCTCTTATGTCCCCTCACTTGCAAACTATATGCTGCAGGAAGAGCTGGGAACTGGGTGAGGCGATGTGAGGGCACAGCCATGGCTTACTGCCCCACAGGCAGCTTTAAGTGGCCTGAACCTGTGTCTGTCCTGCTGAAGGTTAGAGGCCCAGAGAAAAGTCCCCTTTCAGAACTGCTGCTTTGGGGCAGCAAGAGCGGTGGGAGGAGCAAGTTCACAGTTACTGAGTGTCTATCATGTGCTGGGCACTGCTAGAGGTTTACTGCCCCCACAGGAGCTCAGTTTACCCCCACCTGCAATGCACCACCGCACCCCTGCGGCTTATGCCCCTTTCAGATGACCAAAGCTAACAGCAGGTGGAAATGGGGAACTGAGGAAGGGACTCGGGCCCTGTAAGGCCTGTTTTTCTCTGGCAACCAAGGCATGTCCCTTACATTCAGCTACCACACTAGCACTGCAGAATGGAACTTTGATAGATTTTTTTTTTCCTTTGGAAACAAGTGGCTTCTCCAAACGTCCTCAGGCCTGGGGAACAACTGGCTACTCCCACGTCTGGGCTGAAGAGTGGACAGAATCTGCAGATGTCTGCACCAGGAGGTCAAGTCCAGTTTCATTCCCTTAGGCAAGGGAGGGAGAGGTGTGGTCTGGGATAGGATGGAACGGGCCTGGGGCGCCTAAGATCTCAATGCATTCCCTCCCCAGGAGGCCTAGCCATAAATTTATAGACTCCAACACACCTGTGCCTCCGGAGATGGTGATTTGAAGCAAACAGATCCTTCCATCTCCTTGGAGCTAGCTCTGAATAAAACCTTTCTCCTTTTTTACCAACATAAACAGCTTCTTTTGATTTCATAGTGGAGATTAAATGAACCTGATCTATGAACTTAAATAACCGGTGAAATCGGAACACGCAAATCTTCGGCTTCTCCCTTCTTCCCTAGGGGCCCAGGTTTGGGGGGGGGGTCGGAGGTTTCAGGTTACATCTCTGCCTTTCCGCCTGGCCCCCAGGGAAGTCCCCCGAGAGGCTCCTCACCTCCGAAAGATGTTCCAGCGCGGTGGCGGCCGCTCCGGGGCGCACAGTGGGACCGCAGCGCGCCTGCCATCCGGCGTCTCCAGTCGCAGCTCCCTCCGGCCGGCGGGGGGCGGCCTGGGTCCTGGGGGGCCAACGCCGCGGGGCTTCGCGCCATGACATCAGCCCGGCCGGTTGTGGTGCAGTGTGCAAAGCGTACTGGTTGGTGTGGCTAGGGACACGCCTTCCGGGAGTGGAACAAAACGGCGCGCGGGCCGGGCGCACCCAGCCACCGCTTCCGACAGCAACTGTCCCGCTGCCGCCCAGCAGCTGCCAGGTGAGTGCGCCCCGGGCACGCGCCCCAGCCCGGGCGTCCTCCGGCGGTGTCCCCAGCGCCTCCGGGACTTCTCTGCCCCGCCGCGGCCCTGGCGGCTGCGTGGAAAGTTTAAAGGAAAAGTGAGCCGGGAGGCCTTCGGGGGCGAGGAACTGTGAGAAGTGCCGCAGTTAGCCCGGGCGGTGCTTCCCTTTCCAGGAGGCACTGGGTCCCTCCCCACTCCAGGCCTTCCTGGACACAGCTGGCTTCCGCGTGCCCCTGGCCCAGGGCGACCCTGCTCTCCCCACCGCCTGCAGGTCGGACAGAACAATCGGCGATTCTGCCGGCCACTGACGCTCATTGTGTGGCAGAGGGATGAGGGCATCCGTGCCACCCCCTCCCTCACCCTCCTCCTCCGGGAGAGAGCGCCCGCGGGGGGGGGGCGCGGGAAACATCTGGCTTCGTGGGCCTGTGGGGCATCTATGGCCTTGAAAGCAGGTGTGTTTTCCTTCTTCCGGCAGAACTAGGTGGAAGCCGCATGGTTTCACCTCCCCCACTCAAGTCTCTGCTAGGTGGGGACCAACGGCTGAAACCCGAGAGAGCCTAGGTTTTTGTGGCCTCAGTCCCTGAAAACTGGGGAGCAAGGAAGGGGCTGATGTTGAACACATTTAAGCAAACGGCAGTATTTCGGGCACTCTTATGCAAATTACTATATGCTACCTAACAAGCAACCCATGAGGGAGGTATTTTTTTTCTAGTGGCACAGGCCTGAGAGTATTCTGTGCCCTTCTGGTTCTTGGGCTGTTGTGGTCTAATCAGGTTCAGGTCCAGGCTGGGGCAATAGTGTGAGCTCAGGCCCTTCCTAAGGTGCTGGACTCCAGCACCCGCCCTCTGTTCCCTGGAGACAAGTGCCAAGAGGCCACTGCCTTGGGACACTCACAGTGGCACCAGGGAAGCCTGCTGGGCTCTGATAGGAAGTTTATCGTGGAGACCCTAGAATCATGGCAGCCGACTGTTTTGATTCTTGGATACACATGTGGCCATGCACAGGTGACAACTTCTCAATGCCTCCGCTTTTGGGGGGCTGGGCCTTGGTCCATGTATTACGCAGGGCTTCCCCTGCAGGCCTGAGGTACTGCTTTCTACTGTCCTCCCTCCCGGGAGATAAGCGGGCTGGAGCTGGCTCTCGGCCATCTCAGAGGCAGGTGGCGTTTGGGGACTGGGTGCTGAGCTTCCCCTGCTCTGACTCACCTGCTACCTTCTGATCCTGCATCAGTCTCTGGCTTCTTTCAAGAGAAACTGTCCTGAGCCCTCGGTTGCTTTAGGCGCTTTTTAACTCCTTAGTGCTGAATAATCTCCCAGTGAAGAACCCTCTGCCTTGGAGAGGATATTTGGGGCAGGGACTGTCCGGCAGGGGAGGAAGTTTATCCCATGGAGGGTGTGGCCGAGGGTGTGGCCGAGGAGCTTGCTGGAGAACTGCCCCAAAAGCTTCCTGCCCCGTGTGGAGGGTCTGGGGAGATGAGGGAGAGAACTGAAGAGCAGGGCCTGCTAAGAAAATGTGAAAAGCTGTGGCACCTCATCCTCTTTGCCTCTGGTCACCCTAGGACCCATCTCATTGGCCCAGGTAGTTTCTTTTTGTAATCGCACACGTCTGCCAAGGAGCCAGCCAGCCCTCCCTGGGCCAGAGTAGCAACCTTTGAAGGTAATGTTGACCCTTGATTGGTGATCAGTAAACATTTGGTGAATAAATGGGGTAGAAATGGGCTTTCTGCCAGAGACGCCCTCTTGGGCACTTATAAGCCTTGCAGCCACTTTTGCTATGTGTGTAGTGCTGTCAGACAGGGGCTGGGGGTAGTGTTGACAAGCAGGGGGTGGGGGGGCAGGCTTTATTTACGGTGGATTTCCTGCTGGGGAAAACAAATTGAGAGGACTTTCTGAGGGCTTGCTAAAGTTTGAAGTATTTTGCAAGTCTGGCTCGTTGTGAGAAGTTGGCTTGCTAGAGGACTTTGAAGAGGCTTGCATTAAACATTTTGAGATTTAGTGAGAAAAAGACTTTTTTCCTCCAGCTCAGCCGTTTGCCATTATGCAAGCTTGTTGGCAAACACATAGTGACACAAACCTGAACAAGTGTTAGAGGTGGCCTTTCCTTAAGAGAAAGTATGCAGATACCTGCACTTGCTGTGGGCCAGGACTGTGCTAAATATTTCACGTATATCCTCTTGGACAATTTAGGAGTTAAGTGCTGATGCTTGCCATTTCATAGATGAAGAAGCTGAGGCCCAGAGGTGACAGGCACTTTGTTGAGATCTTAGCCATCCCTGGTGGAGCTGCAATTCCAGTGTAGTCTATTTCCACAACCTATTATTTTTCTTTGCTCCTCTACATTTTCTCTTTCCAGTTCTACTCATTTAGGAAATAGCTGGCATTTGTGAGACACATTAGCTTTACAAGACGCATCACAATGGCTTACAAATGACTTAAAAGCGGATATGGCCTTGCGAGTTTTAATGTAGATGGAGGGCCTGTGGGGCCTGGGTTAGCACTCCTGAGCTCTAAGTCTCACTGTGCTACACAGCTGTTGGGGTAGGGACCTTGCAAGTTCATTTTCAGTTATGCTTTCACCAGATCTGATGGATGTTTGTGTTTTGGGGCCAGATTCGCAGGAAAGAAAAGAAGCCTGGGAAAGGGCCAGGTTTCTTGGGGGGGGGTGCAGACATTAAAGCTGCTTGGGGAAGGGGAGAGAAGTAGGTCTTGAGTTCTAACCAAGCCTTGCCTACTGTTTCCAGATGTCAGGAATTTATATGTTAATGACGTGGCTTGTACTACGCAACTTCCCAGGAATTTGTCTGACGCCAGTATTGAGTAATTCCCATGTATGGTAAAGTGTGTAAATACGGAGGCAAGTGTTTCCAGACTCTGGTATTTCCAGTGCTTCCAAAGACCAGAAGCATCGTCTGACTCCTCTGTGGTGACAAAGGTCACAGATGGAGGGCCTGGGGAGGGATGAGGGAGTGAGGGTGGGGGTCGTTCCAGGAGGGGCCTGGCATTCTTTACACAGGGCTGCCGTGGGCTCGGGCTTCCTGAGATGTCAGCTGCCAGCAACCTGTGTTTATAGGTCCTAAGTACTCATGTGTTTTTACTTTTTAATAATTAAGCAGAGAACAGTCATTCAGACCTTTTTGTTCAGCACGTGAATTTACCCAACTGTTAGCACTGTAAGTTGATGTCATCCCAGACAAAAGCAAAGAAAGGCAAACTATTAATTAGTCTGTGAAGCCTGACTATAATACAGGATTTCCTGTACCAGTTTTGTAGTACTTAAAGAAAGTCATAGAGCAGGGGAGGTGTAGCTCAGTAGTAGAGTACATGCCTAGTACGTGCCAGGCCCTGAGTTTGATCCACAGTGCTGCAACACACCAAACCAAACCAAAACAGAACAAAAAAGTTACAGGCCCCCATTTCCACCTCAATATGACCTTCAGATTTCAGAACTCCAGAGCTCTGCCTTAAAAGGCATTAGTGGACAAATGGGGAAATGGAGAGATATAATATTGCCCCTGGCAACTCACAGTCCTACAGGGGTCCAGTAGCACATGGATTTGAAAAGAGAGAGAGCTCCTGGCTTGGAGAGAGGAAGAGAGTGCTGGGCTGACGTTACAGTCAGGTTCTGGGGTATTTGGGGCCTGGAGTAGAGAATCCTGGCTCAGTGATATGGTTGACTTCTCAGAGAAATGAGATATGTGCAGGGCTCCAGAGAAATTATGTGTTAGGACCTTAAAGCTGAGCCCGAGCCTGCTGTTTCCCTGTTGACCACCCCCAACATACACACCAGGAACCATTACTTTCAGGTCTATTTCTTAGGCTCTCAGGTGTCACCTTGAAGATGCCAGCTCTGTGGGCTGAAACCAAGCAGCCTCCTGCTTCCTCTTCTGTCTTTGGCTGTTCTCTGGACATGTGGGATGTGGAAGAGGAGGCTCAGCTATGGGTTTGGAAAGAATGGCAGCACTCTTGCGTACCTGACAGATACCAAGCAGCTCAGGTAACTGGGCAGCACATTTCTAACCAGATAAACACTTGACAGGTCTCTGCTGGACCAAGAGAGTGGACACTTAAGCGCTGTGCTCATCAGTTACTCTTTGGCCCTAGGGAACAAGTAATTATGGAATGGGAGAGATGGGATTTTTCCACTGGTGCAATAAGGATGTGGCATGGTTTGTCAAGGGGTTGAGAGGGGGCCCTCTTTCTGTCATTGGTGGCTGGCAGGTTAAAGATTGTATATCCCTGAGATGATTCCTTAACTTAAAGATGACCCACTCTGCCAACTTTCAGGGGATTTGGGGTGAGTGTGAGAGTTTGTGCCCTGTGTCCACTCTTTACTCTACTGCTGTAAGAGCTGCCATCTTGGATCTCTCCTCTCAAGATTGAGGGTCTGAGTTCAGCTCTTGAGACAATTAGACCAAGAAGCCAACTCAAGCTAGTTGCTTTTTAGGAGACCAGGCATTGGTGTCTAGTCTCCAGCCAGCCCCAAGGACACTGATATTTCAGGTAAATAACTGACTGGGTAGTTCCAGTCACGCCGCAGGACATTCAAATTGTACACCATGGAAATTATCAACACAGTGAAGTAGCACAAACCAAAACACACACACAGCAATTCCCTGCGGGACTGTAACTCTCAGAAGGAAACCCACTGTAGACAATGTGATTACAGAAGATAGTCACGATTTTTGACTGCCCAGAGCCATATGCAAGAGTGCCCGATGTAGGTAGGACACAGGTCCCTGCTTGTGATGTCAGGTAGCCAGGGGGAAGTAAGCCCCAAAGAAGGGCAAGTAGCTTGTCCCAGACTCATTGGCTGGGCTGACAGCTAATCAGGAATTACTGTCCCCATTTGGCCTGATGTCCTTGAGCCTTATTCCTCCCAGATGTGGATTAGCAGGAAGGAGGGTAACCAGTTGGCTTCACATCTGGCAGGGTAGTGTTACAACCGCTGGGCTGTACCAGTTGGGCTAGTGGTAGTCGGAGGTGTGACTCCTGCAGTGTACCAGGCTCTGTGCCATCATGGCCATACATTCTCAGCCAACCCTCGGACCTGGTTTTGGGAGTCAGTGCTCCATCTTAGCGATAAGGAATGAAGCTAGAGCAGAAAACATCCTTTGCCTTAGATCACTCAGCCAGGAAGGGGTGCATCTGATGTTTACCCTCGGCTCCCATTTCCTAACCACTGAATCGCACAGCCTGAACTCTGACCTAGGGAACTGTTTCTGATTTTTTTTGTCTTTTTAAAGAAAATTAATTAAGTCTATTGGTCTAATTTAGATATAGGGAACTGTTTTTGACCACAGCCTCCCCCGGGTCTTCTGTCCCCCAGGACTTCAAAGGCAATTGAGAGGGAGCCAGTAGGCAGTCCACAGACTGAGAAACAGCTTTCCTTTTAAGGCAGTTCAGCCTTCCCACAGCCAGAATTTGGCTGCTGGAGAGAAGGGGCTGGGCAGAAGGGGGAAGGGACACCTGGGACTCTTGGCCATATGCAGGTGTCCTGGGGGGCCCTCATCTGGGCGAGGGGGCATGGAGCCCATCTTCAGGGGCTGTGAACCCCTTCCTGGCTATGGCCAATCTCTCTGCTTCTCATCTGGAGGCCCAGAGGCCTGACCCTCAGACGCCAGGCTCACAGGACTGGCAACCCAGCCAAGAAGCATCCTGACCAGATTCCCCACTGACAGCTCCTTGGGCTTCACCCATCTCCGTGGCCATGTTCCTGATTTCCCCAGGGCTCTGCTGGATGTGGGCCCTGACATGGGGCCAGGGAAAACAAGGGGAGGCCTGTCCGGAGCTATGGGTCTCCCCCAGGGGGAGAAGGGCTTTTGTATCTGGGAACAAAACACTGCTTGGAACTGGCTCTCCACCATGTGGTTGGGGAACTGTCTTCTCCGAAGGGTGTCCCCAGGGGCATGAGTGTGCCCCTGCTGGTTCAGGGTGATGGAAGGGAGGAGAGGGCCAGGAAGAGAGGCAGCATCAGTGAATTGGGCACCCGCCATGTGCAGCCACTTTTAAAGGAGCTCGGCCCACAGATAGTGACAGGGAGTCTGGATACCTGCATTAGAATCTAGTTCTGTCTCTTCCAGCTGTGTGACTGCAAGCAAGTTGCTGAACCTTTCCGAGCCTTGTTTTCCATATCTGTAAAGCAGGTATAATATATTCACCATCTTCAGGAGATGAGAGTGAAATGGGATGATGTAGAAAAATAGACCCACATAGGCAGTTGGTGGCAGTCCGGGCATCTTGGCTGCATAGTTTTGTCCAGGCACCTCAGGGGGAAGGAAGCCTGCGTGATTGGACACTCTCTCAAACAAAGTCGCCCTCATATCTCACTGGCCAGAAGTGGTCTTGCCCATTCCTGAACCAGCCACTAACAGGATTATGGAGTCACTGCTGTTGGCTTAGATGACTCAGGCTCTGTCCCTAGGTCCAGGGATGTGGCACTGAGTCACTTGGGAGAATGTGGCTGCATGAGTGGAATCGAGGTTCCTGTGGTAAGGAGAAGGGAGCGATGCTGATGAGCAGCCAGCAAGCAGTGCACGTTGCTGCTCCTGCTCCTGGGGAATTGTTTTCCACGTCCTGTGTGGCTTTGCAGTTCCATGTCCTTGCTCAGTAGGGACAGTTGGTCCCTGGAGCGCTCAGGACAGCAGAGGCTGGGAATAGGGCTGAGCCCGAGTTATCTGGGGAGGCAGAGGGACACTGGCAGTGGTCGGAGATCCGGCCTGTGGGGTGACCTGTGTGAGTGGAGGTCGGTCCAGAATCTGGAAAGGGGGAAACTGGGCTCACGCTGTGGACAGTGGTCCCTCCAGTCCCTGCAGGGGAGGACAGCGGCACTCGGCCTCTGCAGAGCCTCCCCAGCCCCGTGCGTGGTGTGACTTGAGGCTTCCTGCATGCCTGAGCCTGAGCTGGGGATTGCAGGGGTGGAACACAGGTGTTAAGTCACCAGCCTAGGACCCGAGGTGGAGGAGCAGGAGACACCTGGAAAGCAAGTAGGGATCCGGGGGAGGATGGGGTTATCTGCAGGCACTGGGGCCCCTGGTGGGTTCTGAGCCAGCGGGTGCTCCTTGAGAAAGACCTGGCAGTGTGCAGGGACGGAGTAGGAGACTCTTCTAGAGAGGCCTGGCTGTCACAGTGTTGCTCTGCATGTGTCCGTGTGACTAAAGTAAAGGGCTTAAACGGGGTGGGTTTGATGCTTTGTCTAACTAGCGTTCAAAGACAAATCAAATTTAGGTTTAAGTCGATGTTTTCTAAGACTGTTTTCCTTGTCTCTCGGTGATCAACTTCATACCAGGGTTGTCCCCTCTCCGCTGGCAACAAGCCCAGAGCTCCCTGTGTGGCTGTTTGGGGTGGGGCCAGGGCACTTGCTCCCAGGAAGCTCTCCCAGAGGACAGGATGCTTCTGCTTCCATTTCAGGGACCCCGGAAATCCCTTCTCCTGTCCCGCTGGCCTCGAACCCCCCAGAGCCCATAACCTTGACTGACTGGATTAGGGCCAGGCCAGCACCAGGGCTGAAAGGGGACTGGTTTCCCAATGTGGCAGAATCCTCGGCAAGAGGCTGTCGTAATCACCTGGGGAAGGGGAGGCCATCAAGCTGGTGGAGTGCACAGGAGAGGAAAGGGGAGGAGAGGTGCCAGAGAGCTGGTGAAGCTGAGGGCTCAGCGCTGGGCTCAGGGTGGTGAGTAAAGGGGAGCAGAGTGGGACGCAGCTAGGGGAGGGTAAATAGCCCATCCTGGTTCTAGGCCCAAGATGAGATTCCTTAGTGAGGGAGACGATGGTCACGGTCACGTGTGGAAATGCAGAAGTCAGGAGAAGGAACCAGGCGGAGAAAGAGGAAGCAGCTTCTTCAGAGGGCTCCTGTGTGAATCAAGGCCCCTGAGACTGCACACATGACCTTGGGCTTGGAGGAGAGGCCAAGGCCACCCACACATGGGTCCCTCATGGGGGAGACAGCAGGAGATTGCGGAGAGGGTGGGACCGGTGGGAACTCCAATATTTAGAACGTGGGAGTGGAAATTATCTCTCCTGCTCCTCAAAACCTTGGGGAAGATGCCCATCACCTTGGTAATGGCCCCAGTAAAGGGTGGAGCTGGCATTACCAACTGCCCCACCTGACAGCTGCGCTCAGCCTGCGCACTCACCAGTCACCTCCTCTAGTTCCCAGGCTCTGCAGAGACACACCTGGCTCTCAGCACCAGGACCGCCTTCACTCACTCCTCAGGTATCCGTGGAACACATGTGTGCCAGGTGCTCTGCGGGTCACGGGAACTCCATGTGAGCACAGCCTGGACCCCCTTCCTGAGCTGAGGCCCATTTAGACAGGAAGCCCTTCGGTGTAGAGCCCGAGGGTCTTTGACGCTGATTCTGCAGCTGCCGGCTGTTGTTGTGTGACCAGGGAGGTGGGCTCTGGATGCCACCTCTTGCTTTTCAACATCTCCTTTACACAGGTCCAGGGCGCTTTCTCCTTAGGCCTCTTTGCCTCCCGAGGCAACAAGCCCCTTTCCTACCTCCGCGGATCCCCCGCTCACCAAGTCTTGGGGCGCCTCAGCTCCCACCTCATGCCCACTGTTGTTGGCTGTGGCCCCTTCCCTTCGTGAGCTTCTGCCGAAAGAGCTGGAAGGGTCCTCTTCCTCTTCATTCATAAGTCTGTTGGTGATTGAAATGGAAGGAGAAAAGTAGATCCCATCAGCTTTTGGACTTTCTATTTCTTTCTTACTGCCTTTATATTCTGGGCTGCTTTTTGGCAAATCAAGCACTGACCTGTGGTATCCCGTCTTGTAGTCTTTTTAACTTATGTGTTAATAATTATTGAACATTTGCTTTATTTCAGGGCTTTGACTTACTGTACCTCGCTCAGTCCCCAGAAGCACTCTATGAAGTAGCTTCTATTTTCATCTCCCTTTTGCAGATACAGAAATCAAAGTCTGGAAGGGCCAGGTACCCTGCGCAGGGTCACACAGCCAGTGAGTGGCAGAATCAAGATGGCACCAAACTTTCTGGCATCAGGACCCCAGCTCTGAAACCAATACATGGAGAAACACAAAGTTGGTGGAGGCCACCTGCTTTGGATTCACTGGGGGTGCTTTAAATTTAAAATTTGAAATTTAAATTTAATACTTAAAAATTCAGATTCCTCATTCTCAGAGGTGATGATTCATCAGATCTGGGGTGGAGTTACAAAATCTGGTTTTCCAAAACCCTTCCTCTGATCCCAAGGTGCCCTAAAGTCTGAGAGTAGTGCCCTACCCCCTGTGTTTTTTGAAATCTTTTTTTTTGATCTGTGTCTTACATATAAAAGAATGCACACGACCTACATATGGAGTTCAAAGAGTTATTATAAAGGAATTGTGCATGTGACAACCTCCCAAGTTAAGAAAAAGAACTTGGCCAGCACCTCAGCAGACCCCCTGGTGACTGCCACACCACTGAATTCCTTTCCCCATCCTAGAGGGATGTTAATCCCCTTGCTTTTCTGTAATACCTCTGCCACCCATATGCTCCCCTCTCAACCACAGGAGTTTGGCCCGTGTGTGGACTTCACACAGATGGATTTGTGCCTCAGGAACTCTGGCTGCTCTCTGCACATTTTGTGCCTGTTCTCTTTGTGAAATGCACCATGCTGATGTAGGTAGTGGCAGCTGGCTCATTCCCATCGCAGCATCCTCTGGAAAGCCTGGATCACATGCTCACTCATACTCTTTCGAGTGCCGAGCTCAGGGCTGATAACCCAGCATCCACTCGCTAACTAGATTAGACCAGAGGACGGACCCCCAAGTAGCAGCTGGAGGATGTTGAGAATGAGCAGGAAGTGATGGTGATCCCCCAGGACTGGCGGTCTACATGGGAGTCCTGCCTTCACCCAGTGCCCCCTGTGTCTGCCTGCTTCTGTCTTGGGCAGTCATGTTTCTGTGAACTTAATTCCTATTTTGTGTCCCTTTTCAGAATGCCGAACTGGGGAGGAGGCAAGAAATGTGGGGTGTGCCAGAAGACTGTTTACTTTGCTGAAGAGGTCCAGTGCGAAGGCAGCAGCTTCCATAAATCCTGCTTCCTGTGCAGTGAGTACCGCCCAGGCCTGCTGTTACTGCTAGGAGGACAGGGACCTGGCCTGCCCCCACACGCTGGGCCTGTCGACACCCTAGGGAACTGGTCCCGGAGGATGTAAACAGCTTGACATTTGGCTGAGGCACAAGCTGGGGAGGGAAACACTCAAGGGCCTCTTTGTTCCCTTCAGAAGCTGCTTTCTGAGGGGTGAACTCCTTGAGCTGGTGGGGGTGGCGGGTGTGCAGGGGCTCAGATCCAAGCTGGAAAGATTTGGTTCGAGAAACTTTCCACTGGGCTCCCCGACTACGCCACCCGCTCCCCGAGCCACAGTCCCATGATTTCAGAGGAAGGCACTTTGGGCCCAAAGTTAAACGAGCTTTAGATCGAAATTATCCCTTGCTAAAAGGCAACGGAGGGCCACAGCCTTAGAGTGCAGGTCGGTGTGGAGGAGAGGGAGGCCTGGCCTTCCTCAGCCCCGTGCAGCCCTCAGCTGGAGCTCACTCCTCACTGCTCTCAGCCTGCAAGGAGGGGAGGAAGGGCACAAAGTTCACTGCTCTCCACTCTTACTCATCCGGAGAGAGCTGCTGCGGTCTCAAGCACAAGACACTGAGCAGCTGAGAGGCCAGCTGGACCCTAGGAGCCTGACTCCACGGTGCTGCACTGGCCGGTACCCTGGCCGGGTGATTGTCCCGGAGGTGGCAGCTTGGAGAAGCCTGTCCTTAGATTCCTAAGTGATTGGCTGCCTTGGAGAGGGAGGCAACTCGGGCAAGATGTGTTTCCTTTAGGGGAGGCCAGGTGTCTGGGTTTCCCTGAGATACACATGTATGTGTGTATGTTTGCACATGCACACATGCACATATACACCAAGGGGTCTACAGCAAGATGGTGTGTTACAGAGGTGCTCAGGGGGCTGAAGTTCCAGCCCGTCTGGGAGATCTAGGAAACAGAGCCTGTCCTGCATGCCACGAGGTCACTGAGGAGATCTGATGTTCCTTTGTTCCCAGGTAGTTTGAGCTCCACAATAGGACCCAGATAAGCCCAGGACCACCTGCTCACCAATGTTCCCAGCTCTCTACCTCCTTCGGGGCAGGGCGGTCTGAAGCCATCAGAGCAGCAGGGGTCTGTACACTGTCCAGGGCTTGGAGTGACAGTCCCAGGGCTCCTCTGCTGACTGGGGAGTGGACAGGCTTTGGTGGAGCTTTGCTGGAGCTTTGCTGGCTTCCAGCCTGCATGCAGCAGCGTCTTGTTATGTTCAGCTCGTCACTTCAGGAGTTTCAAGCCCTTTCTCTTTTGAGAGGGAGTAAGAGAAGGGCTTGGTGCTGGTGAAAGGAGGGTCCAGGCTGCTGGGATCAGAAGGACGCCTCTCTTTGTTCTCAAATGTTGCTTAACCATAGACTAAGAGGGGCCAGCTGTGGCCTAGCGCCTGTCTGCAGGCCTTCGGTGGAGGAGTAGCTGTTGGTCAGGCATAGAGGGAAGTCAGGAATTCAGGGGGTGGCAGAGGAAGGAAGGAGTAGGGCCTGGGGTGACAGGGATTAGAAACAATTGCAGGAAGCCAGGCGGGGGGACAGTGTGGTGTGGTTATGTGACTGGCATCCCTAGGGGATGGTCATGTGTCTCTGGGTTTTGGGGCACGGTCAGTTCCTGGGTGTCAGGGCTCCAAGTAGACCAGGTAGTACCTGTGTCAGGAGACTGGGGCGAAACCCCATGTGCACATTCCTAGTTCCTGGAGCAGCACCAGCACGAGGTGGCTTCTCCAGAGACTTGCTGAGGCATGGAGGGAGCATTGTTTCTCGTTTTCAGTCGAGTGAGTCACGTGTCCAGCTTGAATTCAGCGTAACCCACAGAATCAAAGAACTTTCCCTCTGATGGTCTAGACCTGAGTGGCAGTAAGGGTCATCCTCCTTGTTGGCCTGGCCCGTGTAGGTCCCCACAAAAGACTCTTCTGATTCTATCTGAGCTCAGCTCAGCATGGCACCCGCATTGCCTTTCCAAGCTCTGGGAGGGGTGGGAGGAAGATAGGGATAATGTAAGAGGCATTGTCAGGCAAGAATCACTTCCCCTGGGCTTACCTTTGGCCTGGAACCAGGACCCAGAGGCTCTGCACACACCCTGGGGTCTCAGTAGGGCAGCCAGTTCCCCTTAGCAGGTGGTTCAGAGCCTGGAAGGAGCTGCCCCGAGGCTCTGCCCTGCTCTGGGCCACGGTGAGGGTGGCCAGCCAGCCTAGGGGGAAGGGCCAACCTGTCCTAGCTCTGTGGTGCTGACTAATGGGACTGAAGCCTACAGGCTGGCCGGAGGTCGTTCACCAGTCCGGAGCACAGAGGAAGCTGGCAGCCTTGCTCTCTGACCCTCAAGCTGAGGGTTAAGGTCAGTTTTCACCCTTTTGCCCTGTCCCTCCAATGCTTGACCTGCTCTAGAGGAACCATGGCCTGCAGAAAATCAAGTCTGGATATGAGGAGCTGGAGTCTGGCCTGTCCTGCTTCTGGCTGACTCTTGTGAGCTTAAGCTTTTTGGGGGGCCTGGGCTTTCCTTCCAGAAGCAGAGAGAATCACTGCTCTTTGAGGGGTGAAGGGGCTGCCTCTTCCCTGAATTTGAAGTATATTTTCCCAACAACACACTACTTCAGTTCTTTTTTTTCTTTTTTCTTTTTTTTTGGTACTGGGGATTGAACTTGTATCCTCCAGCTTGCAAGGCAGGCGGCGGAATCACTCAGCTAAATCCTGGCTCCAGTTCTTTTTTTTCTTAACATGATTTGATAGAAATGTACTCAGGTTCCTCAAATAAGGACTATATTTGAAATCCCCCTTGACTGAATCCTTAGAGGACCTTACAAGTGAGCTGAGGTCTCCACGACATCACTTGGATGGAGGTGGAGGGACAGAGGGTCATGGTGGGGGTTGGGAGGAGGGCCACGGTGGGCAGGACTGTGCCTCTGAGGCAGACAAGGGAGAACAGGAAGGAGTGGGGCAGCTGTGGCAGCTGAGCAGTAGTGCCATGTGGAGGGTGCCAGCTTGTGGGCTCTGATGTCTCCTGGGCTGAGTTTCTGAGCCTCTTGTTGGAGAATTAGTCAAAAGAGGCCTTGTGCCCTCAGCCACTCTTATCTTTGCTTTCTACCTTCCCTCTGGTCTTGGAATTCGAAGTTCAACTTAGGTCTTTCAGGAAATAACTGCAGGCTAATTCCTGACTTCCTGCCCTAGAAGGGAATGTTGGAGCCAGTGGCTTCTTGTTCCCTCACCCTCCTTCTCAGAAGCCAAACCCCAGGGGAGGTGGTGGGAGGTTCCTTATTTGGGTGACCCAGAGTGCCAGAATGGGGCGGAGACCCAGAGGGCAGGAGAAGAGGGTCCTTATTTAGTCTGAAGTCTCCAACCTGGGGGTCAGGGCAAAAACAGCTGGCCAAGGGCCCTTGAAAGGCAAGAGGATGCCAGGCTGCAAGGAGCCAGCCTAGACCCTTCTCCGAGGGAAATGAGAGGCGCAGCTTCTTTCATGGTGCCCCTGGACTTCCAGCTCAGAAGGAGGTGTTGGAGGATACAGTCCAATTGGACACACTGAACTCCCAACATTTAGGGACTATCACAGAACCTAACTAGGGGTACAGGAAGAGAGCAAAACAAATGGAGTGAAGTTGAGTCTTGGTAGAGTAGCTGGCCTATGATCCCTTGAGGCCTGGCCTGCCCTCCCCTCCCCTGTGGTGACAACTTTATGTAATACTAATAAAAGTAGCAAATATATGCACCTGTTACGTTCAGGGCACTGTGCTAAGTATTTTCATGTATAAGGCCTTATTTGATTCTCAACCACCTTTTGGGGCAGGTGTTATTAATTGCATTTACAAAGGAGGACACTGAGTCTGGAAAGGGAAAAGAACTAGCCCCAGGGCACACGTGGGGAAAGGGAGAGAGCTGGAACTTGATTCAGGCTCTTGGCCTTTCTGTGCCTGACATCTGGCACAGCTCCCCTGAGATCAACAGGAAGGTGTATGAGGCCCCCAGATTTTTCTTGCTCATCTGCCCGTCCCATCTCTCTTATTCCCCGAGTCAGGAAATTCTTCCCCATGTCCAGCCTCATTCCTCTCAATGACAAAGTGATTTCTAAAACTAGAAATTTCAAATCCTTCTGGATGTGGTGGTACACACCTAAAATCCCAGCTACTGAGGAGGCAAAGGAAGGAGGATCACGAGTTTGAGGCCAGCCTGGACAACTTAGTGAAACTCTATCTCAAAATTGGAAAAAATAAAATAAAAAGCTGGGGATGTAGTTTGGGGCTCCTTGGGTTGTTCCAGTACCATGTATCATGGAGAAAAAAGAGGCAGAAGACAACAGAGGGAGGGCAGAGAAAGAAACTTCATATCCTGGTGTGATTACGTTGACCTGCACCTCATTGCAAAGCCCACCAAGCTGGGAACTTAACACCTGCTAAACTTCTTTTCAGGGCGCATGACTCCACTCCACTCTCCTGACTCCCATTGGCACACACAGATCGCCTCCTGTCAGTTCCATTGTTGGAGGCAGGAAAACCCTGCCCTTTTTCCTTCCTGTCTGTTTTCTCCCTTGCTACTGGAATATATGGTCTCTTTATCAAGGGCAGAGTGCAGGCTTCGTTTGACATCCTGTCGCTTGGAGACAGCCTAGGCCATTGGCTCTGAATTCTGGGGTGTACCACAGGCTGGGGAGGGGTGATGGTACAGAGGACTGAGGGAGGCACCCACAGATTCCTGGAAGTGGGGCTTGGCCACCTAGAGTCAGGCATGAAGATCCCACCCCTTTATCCTTCAGCTTTTTGACTACCTAACTGGACATCATTTCTTCAGGGTTAGGATAGTGCGTATGTAAAGTGCCTGGAGAGCTGCAGCTGCAGGGGACCCAGGGAGCAAGCTGCTCATCCCTGTTGCATCTCACCATTGTAATTTTCCCTCCACAGTGGTCTGCAAGAAGAATCTGGACAGCACCACTGTGGCTGTGCATGGAGAAGAGATCTACTGCAAGTCCTGCTATGGCAAGAAGTATGGGCCAAAAGGCTATGGCTATGGGCAGGGCGCAGGCACGCTGAGCACTGACAAGGGGGAGTCCCTGGGCATCAAGCATGAGGAGTGAGTACAAGATCTTCTACCACCTTTTCTTGGTTTCACTTTCTTAAGCCCCCCACCCCACCCCCCACCTTGAATACATTCTCAAATGTTTATGGTTAAGCAGTGGAAGGCTCAGAAAGCCATTGATTTAAAAGGGGATCCACAGCCTATTGGAGGAGGTGAGGACCCAGCCCAGAATGGGTCAGGCCAGCATGGAGCGGGCATAAGTCTCAGAACTGGGAGCTGCCCCAAGAATTGCTTAGTCCACTTTCTTCACTTTATAGCTGAGAACCCTGCCCCCCTCAAGTGAGTGAGCCAGACCAAGGCTTGGAGCAGCATCTCGGCCACACCAGCCTCTCTCTTACTCTGCCATCTTCCCCTGTCGAGGGGAAGTCATTTCCTTGCCCTAAAGCTCGAAAAGTCTCTGATCTGCTGGTAAAGGGTGGCTGTCGGCTGTCGGCTCTGGAGGGATGAATGGTATTGATACCCCACTTACCTAGTTTCAGCCAAGGTCATTACGCCATCGGGAATGACTGGTCAGCAGATTTTTCCTAGAATACATCTGATAACGGCCCGGCTGCAGAAATGAGGGGCCAGGGAGAGCGATTCTTAACAAATGAGGTGTTCCGAGAGTCCAGAAGTGTGCCACTTCAGCGAAGCTGATACTGTGCTGAGCCTTGGTTTGTCTACCTGTAATGTGAGAGATGACCAGGGAGGCCCTGGTGGGCCTAGCTTTTGTGACTCTGGCTAGGAGCTGCCCGAGCCCTGGAACGGTGGAAGTGGGGTCCTGCCTTTGCAAGACCAGCCCTCTGTATTTGTGAGTGTAAGTCATCTCATCTCACGCCCTTTCCAATGCAGAGTCCCTGGCCACAGGCCCACCACCAACCCCAGTGCGTCCAAGTTTGCCCAGAAGATTGGAGGCTCTGACCGCTGCCCTCGCTGTAGCCAGGCAGTCTATGCTGCGGAGAAGGTGATCGGGGCTGGGAAGGTAAGGTGCTGCTGGGGATGGGAGAGGGAGGGCCGCACCTTCCTGACATGTGGACCCTGGGACTCTGCTCAGGGGACTCTGAGCACTGAGCGTTTACCCTCTTCCCACCTAGGGAAGGCGTAACTCTTTGCTCCGGTGGGTTACTTACCACCTTTCGAGGAGCTCACACATTGCCCATAAATAGTAACATCCCCGGCACTGATGGATTGTCCAGGGACAGCCCACAGGGAGTTGCAAAGATCAGTCTGCACTTTAGAGTTGAGTACCATAGGGTTTGGGCGTATGTGAGAGGGTTGCAAAGCCCCTAAAATTACATGCAAAGTTTTACAGGAAAGTGTCTCTCAGAAGATTTTTAAATCCCCCCAAATGTTAAGAACCACCCCAAAATATATTTTCTGTTTCATACGATGGGTTCTCCCAGAAACCCATCTGTATAAGCCCAGGGCCGAGATTTTTGAGGTTCAGGCCTGTTAGAGCTTGCGCTGTTTATAATTTGCCACGCCTGCCCTTCCTCCATGATATTCTGATAGCAACTCCCAGTCACCATGCACATTGCGTATCACCATAGCATCCTGACTGTTCCAAACAGGCCGCAGTGGAGAAGACACAGAGCCCATGACCTAGGGGTTTATAGTCTCACACCTGCAGCCCGAACATCACAGGCTGTGTGGCCAGGGAGGATCTGTGGATCATCATGCCGGGCCTGAAATAGAGCAGCGACTTGGGCAAGATCACTCAGCAAGCTGATAGCCCAGATGGGCATAGAGCCCATCTCCAGCTCTTCTGGAATTGCGTCTTGGCTTTCACATCCTTTGACCTTAAAGAGGAAGATCAGGGGGAATGGGATGGGGAACCAACACTTAGGCCAAGACTAGCCTGCAGCAGGTTCTCAGCCCTCACAATCATGGCTGGAGATGGGAATTATTATCCCCCTCTCAGCAGGACTGAATAATTTGCCCAGATCATCTGTTGAGGAAGCAGCTAGGTCAGTTCTCCAGAGCTGGGTAGTGGCCTCTGCTTGAGAGAGGAGGAAGTGAAGACTAGGTGACTGTTGAGACCATCCAGGGGACAAAGGGGAGGCCTGAGATCCCGGTCCCCCATCTCGGCTCCCTAGACCTCTCCACTCTCCCTTGGGCACTTGAGGAGGAGGCAGTGGACAAGGTCAAGTGACCAGGAAACAAAAGGATCAGCTTCCTTTCTCACCTCCAGCCTGGGCACTGGTAGCTCTGCTGGGGAGGCCTCACTCGCCTTAAAAGGCATTGTTTTGTCTGTTCTGGCTGCCGCCTGCCTCCTGCTCTTCCTGCGTTAGCAGAGCTGTCTGCACATCAGCCTCTCAGCTCGCCCTGCAGTTGCTGATGGATGCCAGCTGCTGAGAAGTTGCACTCCGTGTGGGGTCTCATCACTGAGTAAACCTGGGCTCTGCCTCTTCCCTGGGAGACTGCCCTATGTGGCCTTGGGCCACCTCTTAGAACCACAAGGCCCCTTCTGTGGCCCTGGAGAAACTACATTCCTCGGGCCGGTTCCTGCCAAGTTCAATGTGTTGGGAAGACGCAGTCCCCTTCCAAAGTGATAATGGACAACACTGACTCGGGCCTCTTCTGTGCCTGTCCCTGTGAATGAAATGGCGCTGGTGAAGTCATTTAACACTAACAGCTGCCTGGTGAGGGAGACATGGCCGCCCAGTCTCCAATGAGGCCCCCAGTTCTGGAGCTTCAGAGGCCAGGCTGGTGCAGGAGAACCCCTATTCCAAATGCCTGCTTTATGGCCAGGCACCTGATGTTTAAATATTGAGTCCTCACATCCATTCTGCTTAGTGGACAAAGAGGTATCTGGGAGGCCTCCAGGGAGGCTGTTCTCCTTGTATGTGGCAATGGCACGACAAGTACCACTGATCTGCAGACAGAATGGGCTTGTCTGGTCTCGGTTATGGGGAGCAGCTGCCTTTTGTGCTATAGCTGGTGCCACTAACCATTGTGACCCTTAGCGGCAATGCCCCATTGAAGGTGGCCTGAGGCAGCATGGGCTTGGTCCCCAGCCAGCTGCCCCCACTACCCATCACCATGGGCCATGTCTTCCCAGTTGCCCTAGCCCAAAAGACGTCAGAAGTGCCCTTCCACCATGGATATGTCAAAGGGAGTGGGCAAGAGTCGGGTGCTGTAGTCGCTGGTGGGCCGCAGCTTTGACTCTTTCCTTCTTTTTTGGCACCGGGGATCGAACTTGGGTCCTTGCGCTTGAGCAGCAGGCGGCGAAACCACTGAGCTAAATTCCCGGCCCAACTACTCTTTCCTTCTTTACCTAGTCTTGGCATAAATCCTGCTTCCGATGTGCCAAGTGTGGCAAAGGCCTCGAGTCAACCACTCTGGCCGACAAGGATGGCGAGATTTACTGCAAAGGTGGGTAGTTTCGCTTCTAGTTGAAGATCAGGAAGCCCGAGGAGGCAGGGGAACTAAGCAGTGAGCCCTTTGCTGAATATGAACCAGTTCCTGGCCTCAAACTCCAAAAGCCAGAGCATCTAGCCTGACTCCTTCATGTCACAGATGGGAAAATGAGCCCAGAGGAAGAAGCAACTTGGATGGAGTCAAATGACAAATTCGGGTGGGGACAGGGGCACAGCCTGGGTCCCTAAGTCCCAGCCCAGTGTTCTCCGGCAGATGAGGCTCCTTCCTCGTTTCAGTGCAGGGGCAGTGGGCACAGTGTGGAGTTGAGGGCACAGGTGGCGGCACTGGCAGACCTCCCTTCTCCAGAGGCCTGGCATGGGCATGGCAGGAGGAGCTGCGGGGAGGAGCACCTGTCCTTACCCCTCTCTCCTCTCTCTGCAGGATGCTACGCTAAAAACTTCGGGCCCAAGGGCTTTGGCTTCGGACAAGGAGCTGGGGCCTTGGTCCACTCTGAGTGAGGCCACCACCACTGCCTGCTGAGCCCGGCCTCTCCTGTGCTTTCCATCACCATTTCCCTCCCAGCCGCCATGGAGACCCCCGGGGTTCTCTCACTCAGCCCTGCCACACATCACTAATGACTTGAGCTCCATCCCACTAAGGAGCTTCCCCTGCCCGGCATCTGACACCGTCACCAGGTGGAGACACCTGTCTCTGTGGTCTCAGTGGGACCAGGCCCTCTCCCCACAGCGCACCCACAGACCCCAGCCTCTTCCATGTCATCGACTGGCCAGGACTCCTGACCCCCATGTCAAAGCCCAGAGGAACAGCAGCAACAGGCGCGGGGGTGGGGCAGGGAAGCCGGACCAAGATGGGGTGAGGAAAGGCTGCGGTTTACTGGCTCCCAGAGATTCTCCTCTGTGGGAAACGGGGTGGGCTCCTTGGTGTCTCTCAGAAGCCCAAGGAGTCCAGCTCAAGTCGCTACGGGAGCAGAGAAGCGAGCAGACAGGGTCACAGGCCTCAGAAAGAAGCCACTTGCTTCCCTAGGCCTCTTGCCTTTGAGTCACTGTGGAACTGGTGTCCTCCCATTTCAGGTTAGATAGAGAACAACCCAGGTGTGGGAACCCTAAAGTCAAGAGGTTGCCTGACCTCCTGAGTCATCTAGTTCCCTGTTTGAAGAGGGGAGATCATAACGAAACTCTTCCAACCCACATTTGCTTTTATCAGGGCTCCGAAGCCCAGGGTAGTTAGTTAGCCCTGGCCCTAACCTTGGGTCTGAGGCTGCAGGGGCCGCTCCTCCCCATTCCTGTTTCAGCACAGCCCAGATCAGTGCTCTGTTCTAGCCGTGCCAGACTGATTATTCCCCACATGTGGAGGGAGGCAGACTCACCTTCACCTTCCTACAATACCCTTTCCTCTCCCAGCCCCTGCAACCTGGACCCTGCCCCTTCCACCCCACCCTTCCGGGCCTTCTCTAGCCACTAGGCCCTCCTTCCTCCCAGGCCCCCAGGTCCGTAGCAGCTGGAGGAAGGAGGAGGCACCAGGACTCTGTGCTCCCAGGAGCTGAAAGGACAACACTGTAGCTGTCAACTGCAAGGGCCACAGGCATGGGCTGTACTCAAGCTGATTTCTCATCCAGTCAATAAAGCTGTTTAGAACAGAACTCTGGTGTCTTGAGCCTGTGTCTGGAGCACTGCCACACCCTGAGAACGAGCAGGAAACTGGATGCCAGAATCCCATCAGCAGGAGGCCTAGGAAAATGAATCAAAGAGGACTTTCTCCTGCTTTTCCCTCTATTCTCTCCTCCCTTTTCCTTTTTGTAGTTCAGGCTGGACCTGAACTCACTATGTATCTTTTTTTTGGTACCGAGATCAAACTCAGGACCTGGCGCTTGCGAGGCAGGTGGTGGAACCACTGAGCTAAATCCCCAGCCCATTATGTATCTTAAGCTTGTCTCCAACTCATGATCCTCCTGCCTCAGGCTTCCAACTGCTGTTATTACAAGTGTTCGCACCAGGCCCAGCTTGCTCTGTTTTTTGTAAGGACAACTGGCTTTTCAGTAGCAGTACTCACTGAAGGGACCCTGCCAACAGCACAACACTGCCTGGCCTCGCCTCCACCCCCACATCTGGGCATGGGAATTGTTTGGACTCTGGCGTTTAAGGGCTTGGGCAGGTCCCTTAGACTTCTCAGATCTTCTCCCAGCTTGGAAAGCCCCAGCGTGAGATGGAAACTCGACCGACAGGAGGAACTTTCACATCAAATCCTGAAAGCTCGCTTCTGCCTAAGCGGGGAAGGGTGTTGGGCCCAGCTCAGCCTGTTGCACCGTGAGGACCTCCACAGCCAAGTCCGCGGAAAGCCAGACTTCTCAGAAACAGCCGCATGGGTGGGTGGGTGGGGGGTGTCCTTTGTCCTACCAGCACCTGGCTGATGCTTTGGGGCAGGACTTCTCGTCCGCCCTTGAAAGTGTGTCCATGCTGTGAATTTTCCAAGAAGGCTTCGTGTGCACCCTGTCCTGCTGGGCAGTCCAACAGCGGCCTTGACAGATCCCCTGTCCTCTAGGAATGAGAACTACTCACTGTAAGATCAGTCAACGGCGCAGGGCAGTAGCAAAGTGCAAGGCGACAGGTGAAAGCACTGGAGATCCGGGGAGAAGTGGGGTCAGGGTCTCCCTAAACTTGGGCATCTGCCTGGACTTCGTCCGGGTGGCGGGCCTGGCCCATTGGAGGCTGCCAGGGGAGGTCTGTGCGCCCAGGAGGATCGATGGTTCCAAAAAGTCAAGTGGATCCCCCTGTTCTGGGAGGGGCCCATAGAAGTGGCGGCCGCCGGCGCCTTTGGCGAAAGCTGGAGCGGGGCGCCCTCTGCTGGCTGCGCGCGGCCGGCCTCGGCACCCGGCGCAGTCCACCTTCCCGGGCCCCGCTCCTCTAGCTGTCCCGCTGCCGGATCCCTGCTCTCCCAGGGCAAACCCTCGGTGGAGTGAAGCCGGGATGAAGCCGTAGGACACAGGCGGCTGGGCCGGAAAGCGCTTGGCGGGCACAGAAAGGCTGGGCAGGGGGAGGAGGAGGGAAAAGAGAGGGCTTGGCGTCTGCGGGCGCCGCGCTCGCACCAGGTGGCGCTGTGGGGCCGGCGCTCAAGGCCGGGGCTCCCTTTCCGCACCCCGCGCTCCTCCCCTCGCCTGGGGTCTGCAGGACTCTGCTCTTGCGCACGCGTCCGCGCGTTGCGAATGCGCCTGCCCCCTGGGCCATGTGTGAGCTAGTGGTGGCTGTGGTATACTGATCTGTGAGACTGACCCGAAGGAAGAGGGTGAGCAAAGATCTTGACGTCCATGCACTTTTCTTTTCTCGTTCTTGAGTCAGGGGCTCAGTTCAGGGCGCCCTCGGGCAGAAGTGGCCCTGGAGATCCAGGGTGTGATGAGAAAGAGCTGCCTCTCCTGATGCGAGGCAGGTCCAGGCCTCTCCCTCCTCCGAGCCTTAGCAATCTCTTTGGGTCACCGGGGAGGCTGGGGAGGAACAGGTATCCCAGTAGGAGCGTGACTGCAGGGTAAGAGGATGAGGAAAAGATCTGGGAGTTAGGCTGCTGTTAGGTGATAATCTCGGGGTCTCCACACCTAGACCTGGTGAGGGAGGGGGTGGCCGGAGGGGGGGGTGAGGAGCCCTGGGGATTCCTCCCTGGGTGGTTCTGCCCCCCAATTCCCTGAGCCCTGGTCCCTCCTTCCTCCCACTCCCCTTGCTGCTCCTCTCTCCTTCCCCTACCTCCACCCTATTTCCCCTCTCCCACCTCATGGCCTGGCCCTGGCTCCAGACCCACTTCCTTATTACAATCTTTGAAGGAGGGGAGCTTTTGAAATGGATTCCTAGCCCCACCCCTAGAGATTCTGATCAGGTTGGTTTGGGAAGGGCCTGGGAATCTGTATTTGAAAAGCTTCTCGGGTGATTCTAACTTTCAAACTCAGCCAGGCTTGAGAATCTGTGGACTCCTGTAGCCTGTCACCCAGGAGACCCCCCGCCTGCAGCTCACCCACCTGAAGGGGCAACCGCTGGACTGCCCAGCTCAGCCCCCAGCTGGCTGCTGGGGGTGCCTGAGAACCGTTCTAATGATTCCAGAGGACTCCCTGGAACTTCCTATTTCTGTCCCCTAGAGTCATCCAGACCCCTTGGAGGCTAATCTCTGTCCTGTGTGACAGTCCTTCAAGGAGTTGCAGACAGCTGCCTCCTGCCTGAGACTGCTTCTCCTCAGCACAGACACGCTGGGCTTCTAGTGGTTCCCCGGGAGCCCAGAGAGTTCTTTGGGATAAGAAGGAGGCTGGGAAGCTGGAGATGTAGCTCAGTGGTACAGCAAAGACTAGAATCTAGTGGACTAGATTTGGAAATAGGGAGAGCAGAAGCAGCCCCATCTGGGAAAGATCTATACCTTCCCTGAACTGCTTGGCACCAGAAACTGTTCAAAGACCTTAAATATATGAATTCATTTTGATGGATGCAATAATCCAACAAGTCAGGGACATAACTTTACAAATGATCAAGCTAAAGCCAGGAACCAAAGAACAATTCAGCAGCTAACTTGAGGTCAGATGGCAGAGCAGGATCTGCAGTAGTAGCTGGGCCCACGACTCCTCCTTGCTGCCCTGCTGTACTTGACACTGTCAAGAAACTGCCATGCACTAGGAGGTATGCAGCAGTGGCCTTAGAATAGGGAGCTAGGCCTGTAGTAGTAGCTAACACTTTTTAAGCACATGCTACGTGGCGGATACTGGTCTAGATGCTCTTATTCGATGCCCACATATGCACTTGGCAATGGTTACAGCCCCCTTTATCATAGAAGAGGAAGCAGCTTCAGTGAATGTGTAACTTCCCCAAAGTCACTGGCAAGTGGTGGAGCCGGGATGGGAACCAGCTGTGTGACTCTGGGCCAGCCTCCTCCCTCTGGGTGTCAGCTCCTCATTTGTGAAATGAAAAATGTTGGCCTCAATTAGTCCTGGGGAAGTGCTTCTCAAGCTGTAATGAGCATTCACTTCTCCCATCTCATAAAATGCAGATTCTGGTTCAGTAGTTTTGGGTGTCGCCCGAGACTGGATGTCTCGCACAAGCTCCCAGGGAAAGGTGGTGCTGATGCTGCAGATCTGGGGACCACAGTGGAGCAGCCGGGCTCCAGGGGACACACCCAACTCTGATGTTCTGAGTTTATGGGCCCAGGAAGAGTCGCCCCAAAGGCCATGAAAATCCAGGAAGCAGATTACCACGAGCAAAGCTCTTAGTGGGCATTTTCTGTGCCCAGACAAGCCCTGGATGCCTTTTCTGAAGCACCTGCCCCTGAGCCTTCTGTTTCCACCCTGTTGAACTCAGCCTGACTTCGCAGAGGGTTCAAAGGCTTGGTGCTGAGCCAAGGGGGGGTTGCTGTTCCCCTAGGGGAGTGGAGTCCCCGTGGCCCTGCCTCCTTGGGCCATCGGCTGGTCCCCCGGCAGCCACACTGTTTCGTCCTGTAGGGCTTTTCACAGATACCCCCATCTTCTGGGCACCCGGTAAGGTTAAGTTTCTCCTCCTTCCTTGAAGTTAGATGTGGCTTGCTGTGGTGTCTAAGTCAGGATCAGAGTGACTCAGGTCACTTTGTACAGAACTCTTTAAGAGCTAGCATGCAACTGCTTGTATTCTCTTCCCCCTGCAGGAGGGCGGAAGTAGGTGTCAAGATGGAGCCTCCATCTGCCTGGCTCAGTGTGTATCACGGTGAGCAGAGCCTCCCCTACCAGTCCAGGGCTACATGGGGGAAGAGTAGGGGTAGCAGTGCCTAGCTTATCCTGGCAGTGTCAGCCATGACCTGGATATGTCACCGTGGATTGGCAGTGTCCAGTACTGGGATGCCATGTTTGTGCCACTTCAGAATTGTGGTTGTTGAAGATCCAAGTCTTACTTCTGAATCCCTCCTCTACATGAGGGAACATCTTGCTGAGGGCACGGGGTCCCCTGAGGGTGTGAACCCCCTCCCCATCCCCCTGTCCTGCCAGTCCCCATGAAGGGAACTTGGTTTCACTATTCACCTAGAGCCCAGCCCAGACCCTGGCTCTCAGGATGCTTAATGCGCATGACACAGTGGGCTCTAAAGTTCCTGGCATGAGTCTTCCTGGAGATCTCATCCTAGAATGCACCGTGAGCCTTCCTGCTCTTCTCACCTGTTCCTTTCTCTTCAACCCTGTTCTCAGGCTAGATGAGTCACAGCCTCATTCTCTGCCTGACCTGGAAAATGGCAATGCCTAGAAACGTCCTTTTTACCAAAGTAACATGTAAGAATTCATAATTTTCACAAGCTGGGATGATGGTGCATGTGTATAATCCCAGTACTTGGGAGGCTGAGGCAGGAGGATCTACATGGTGAGTTCAAACCCTGTCTGGACTACATAGCAAGATCCTATCTTAAAAAAAAAAAAGAAAGAAAGAAAGAAAGAAAGAGGAAAAAAATGCATTCAAAATTCTCACTATGAAACATTTGAAAATCAGAGGCAGGAAAAAAAATCATAATTTCACTTAGAAGGAACATCATCATTGACATCATTGTCTTTTCTCCTGTTTTCCTTCCGTGATGCATCTTTGCCCCTATAATTGTAGGGTGACCCTATGAAAGACTGCTCTGTAGAAAAAGGATGAACCAAACTCAAAAGCAGAAAATGTCAGA